CTATCAGGCTGTCTTACAGTAATAGTACGGTACATAGACTGCACTGCCAGAGGTCTGCAGCAACTGCCTGAGTACAAACACATGACTACAGCACTCCGCTTGTCCTGTGTGTCTGACCACTAGCTACTCAGAGAGGAGAAAGAGAAATGAACAGACCAGTGTTGCAGTTTGTTTCCTTGAATGAAAAAAAAAAGTATATCTAACTAGCTTAGAACTTGATTCAGCTACTGTTTAAACACATATGTCCCAATCATTGAAAGCACAATTATCAATAGTACAAATGATTATATATATGTCTACACTACCAGTCAAAAGTTTGGACACACCTACTCATTCAAGGGTTTTTCTGTATTTTTAATATTTTTTACATTGTAGAATAATAGTGAAGACATCAAAACTATGAAATAACACGTATGGAATCATGTAGTAACAAAAAAAAGTGTTAAACAAATCAAAATATATTTCATATTTTAGATTCTTCAAAATAGCCACCCTTTGCCTTGATGACAGCTTTGCACATGGTTAGCATTCTCTCAACCAGCTTCATGAGGTAGTCACCTGGAATGCATTTCAATTAACAGGTGTGCCTTCTTAAAAGTTACTTTGTGGAATTTATTTCCTCCTTAATGCGTTTGAGCCAATCAGTTGTGTTGTGGCAAGGTCTGGGGGGTATACAGAAGATAGCCCTATTTGGTAAAAGACCAAGTCCATATTATGGCAAGAACAGCTCCAATAATAATGGAGGAGGTGGTGTTATGGTGTGGGGGTGCTTTGCTGGTGACACTGTCTGTGATTTATTTAGAATTCAAGGCACACTTAACCAGCATGGCTACCACAGCATTCTGCAGCTATACGCCATCCCATCTGGTTTTGGCTTAGTGGGACTTTCATTAGTTTTTCAACAGGACAATGACCCATCACACCTCCAGGCTGTGTAAGGACTATTTTACCAAGAAGGAGAGTGATGGAGTGCTGCATCAGATGACCTGGTCTCCACAATCCCCTGACCTCAACCCAATTGAGATGGTTTGGGATGATTCGGACGGCAGAGTGAAGGAAAAGCAGCCAACAAGTGCTCAGCATATGTGGGAACTCCTTCAAGACTGTTGGAAAAGCATTCCAGGTGAAGCTGGTTGAGAGAATGCCAAGTGTGTGCAAAGCTGTCATTAAGGCAAAGGGTGGCTATTTGAAGAATCTCAAAATATAAAATATATTTTGATTTGTTTAACACTTTTTTGGTTACTACATGAAACCATATGTGTTATTTAATAGTTTTGATGTCTTCACTATTATTCTACAATGTAGAAAATATTAAAAATAAAGAAAAAACCTTGAATGAGTAGGTGTGTCCAAACTCTTGACTGGTACTGTGTGTGTATATATATATATATATATATATATATATATATATATATATATATACAGTGAGGGAAAAAAGTATTTGATCCCATGCTGATTTTGTACGTTTGCCCACTGACAAAGAAATGATCAGTCTATAATTTTAATGGTAGGTTTATTTGAACAGTGAGAGACAGAATAACAACAAAAGAGAAAACGTATGTCAAAAATGTTATAAATTGATTTGCATTTTAATGAGGGAAATAAGTATTTGACCCCCTCTCAATCAGAAAGATTTCTGTCTCCCAGGTGTCTTTTATACAGGTAACGAGCTGAGATTAGGAGCACACTCTTAAAGGGCATGCTCCTAATCTCAGTTTGTTACCTGTATAAAAGACACCTGTCCACAGAAGCAATCAATCAGATTCCAAACTCTCCACCATGGTCAAGACCAAAGAGCTCTCCAAGGATGTCAGGAACAAGATTGTAGACCTACACAAGGCTGGAATGGACTACAAGACCATCGCCAAGCAGCTTGGTGAGAAGGTGACAACAGTTGGTGCGATTATTCGCAAATGGAAGAAACACAAAATAACTGTCAATCTCCCTCGGCCTGGGGCTCCATGCAAGATCTCACCTCGTGGAGTTGCAATGATCATGAGAACAGTGAGGAATCAGCCCAGAACTACATGGGAGGATCTTGTCAATGATCTCAAGGCAGCTGGGACCATAGTCACCAAGAAAACAATTGGTAACACACTACGCCGTGAAGGACTGAAATCCTGCAACGCCCGCAAGGTCCCCCTGCTCAAGAAAGCACATATACATGCCCGTCTGAAGTTTGCCAATTAACATCTGAATGATTCAGAGGAGAACTGGGATAAAGTGTTGTGGTCAGATGAGACCAAAATTGAGCTCTTTGGTATCAACTCAACTCGCCGTGTTTGGAGGAGGAGGAATGCTGCCTATGACCCCAAGAACACCATCCCCACCATCAAACATGGAGGTGGAAACATTATGCTTTGGGGGTGTTTTTCTGCTAAGGGGACAGGACAACTTCACCGCATCAAAGGGACGATGGACGGGGCCATGTACCGTCAAATCTTAGGTGAGAACCTCCTTCCCTCAGCCAGGGCATTGAAAATGGGTCGTGGATGGGTATTCCAACATGACAATGACCCAAATCACACGGCCAAGGCAACAAAGGAGTGGCTCAAGAAGAAGCATATTAAGGTCCTGGAGTGGCCTAGCCAGTCTCCAGACCTTAATCCCATAGAAAATCTGTGGAGGGAGCTGAAGGTTCGAGTTGCCAAACATCAGCCTCGAAACCTTAATGACTTGGAGAAGATCTGCAAAGAGGAGTGGGACAAAATCCCTCCTGAGATGTGTGCAAACCTGGTGGCCAACTACAAGAAACGTCTGACCTCTGTGATTGCCAACAAGGGTTTTTCCACCAAGTACTAAGTCGTGTTTTGCAGAGGGGTCAAATACTTATTTCCCTCATTAAAATACAAATCAATTTATAACATTTTTGACATGCGTTTTTCTGGATTTTTTTGTTGTTATTCTGTCTCTCACTGTTCAAATAAACCTACCATTAAAATTATAGACTGATCATTTCTTTGTCAGTGGGCAAACGTACAAAATCAGCAGGGGATCAAATACTTTTTCCCCCTCACTGTGTATATATATATACACACACACACAGTGGCTTGCGAAAGTATTCACCCCACTTAGCGTTTTTCCTTTTTTTGTTGCCTTACACCCTGGAATTAAAATGGATTTTTGGGGGGTTTGTATCATTTCATTTACACAACATGCCTACCACTTTGAAGATGCAAAATATTTTTTCTTGTGAAACAAACAAGAAATAAGACCAAAAAAACAGAAAACTTGAGCGTGCATAACTATTCTGCAAGTCTCTTGGGGTGTCTCTATAAGCTTGGCACATCTAGCCACTGGGATTTCTGCCCATTCTTCAAGGCAAAACTGCTCCAGCTCCTTCAAGTTGGATGGGTTCCGCTGGTGTACAGCAATCTTTAAGTCATACCACACATTCTCAATTGGATTGAGGTCTGGGCTTTGACTAGGCCATTCCAAGATATTTAAATGTTTCCCCTTAAACCACTCGAGTGTTGCTTTAGCAGTATGCTTAGGGTCATTGTCCTGCTGGAAGGTGAACCTCCGTCCCAGTCTCAAATCTCTGGAAGACTGAAACAGGTTTCCCTCAAGAATTTCCCTGTATTTAGCGCCATCCATCATTCCTTCAATTCTGACCAGTTTCCCAGTCCCTGCCGATGAAAAACATCCCCACAGCATGATGCTGCCACCACCATGCTTCATTGTGGGGATGGTGTTCTCGGGGTGATGAGAGGTGTTGGGTTTGCGCCAGACATAGCGTTTTCCTTGATGGCCAAAAAGCTCAATTTTAGTCTCATCTGACCAGAGTACCTTCTTCAATATGTTTGGGGAGTCTCCCACATGCCTTTTGGCGAACACCAAACATGTTCGCTTATTTTTGTCGTTAAGCAATGGCTTTTTTCTGGCCACTCTTCCGTAAAGCCCAGCTCTGTGGACCAGATCTTATTTAGGGGCTTCATAGCAAAGGGCTGAATACATATGCACGCACCACTTTTCCGTTATTTATTTTTTATACTTTTTTGAAACAAGTCATTTTTTTCATTTCACTTCACCAATTTGGACTATTTTGTGAATGTCCATTACATGAAATCCAAATAAAAATCCATTTAAATTACAGGTTGTAATGCAACAAAATAGGAAAAACGCCAAGGGGGATGAATACTTTTGCAAGGCACTGTATGTATATATATATATATATATATATATATTCATTTTTTTAGTATCGCCTTCTTTAAGCACAATAGGGTAAAACTAACATTATCAATGTAGTTTGACCAGTGAGGGTAGAGCCAGTGTTAAAATCTTAACATATATCTAAAAGTGACATCTTCACTAGAGTATGGAGCAGGTCAAGTCAAGCCACCAAAGCTCCGTCACAGGCGGGCATATCGTGCTGCAGAAAGTGTACCAGCTGCCGTTTAGTATCGACTGAAAGCCCAGTCCAGTCAGTCGGAGAATAGGACACCAGTCTGTAGTGCAGCAGATTTGAGCCACTGATACTGCCCCACCCTCATGCAGCAGCTTTAAGTCTTATGTTACAGCTAGCGGACAGACAGAACACAGTGCCTACCTACGTACGGACAACAGTCTTTATGATCAATGAGGTCCAGGACAGGGAGAATATTGCTATGTGTTTTACTGTAACACCTCTGTATGATCCAATCTACACTAGTGTCTTGCCCTCTTGATTATGTATTTTAAATCCATGATCAGGGAATCATCTTAGTTAAAATGGTTTTGATACAAGGTTCTACAGTAGGTTAATAACATCAGAGGAAGAGTCCATGGGGCTGCGTCTCAAATGACAACATACTCCCTATTTAGCGCACTTCATTTGACCAGAGCCCTATGCGGTATAGAGAATAGTGCGCTATATAGGGAATAGGGTGTCATTTGAGACGCAGCCCATGAGTCACAGGTGGTGGCTCTAACACTCAGGAGGGGCCTTTGCTGTGGTGGGGAGAGGCTGGAGGAGGAGGAGGAGGAGAGGGGAGTAAGGAAGTCTTCAGTGCATGAGTTGCTCAGAGTAGGTATTTGTGTCTGGTGTCCTCGTCCAAAGTGAGGTCCACTACCTCTGGAGGGGACACCCAGTTGGGCTGTGGGGACACGGTAGTCCAGAGCTGGGAGGATTGCCTTGTGCTGTTGTTGAACTGATCCACTGAGTTGGGCTTCCAGGCAGAGGACAGGCTCTGAATTACCCCGCCCCGAGGATGGGCACATCTGTTAAGAGAAACGGCACAATAACACAACAAGGACATAAGAGCAATGTTAGAGAAACATTAGGGTAACAACATTATACTGATGATTGAGTAACGAAAACTTAGTTTGTGCATTGCAGTTCACCAGTTCCATGACAGTCCCAAAGCAGCCATTGCATTTATGAGCTGTTGACGGTGTTGGTGTCACACAGTAAAACTATATTGACAGTTTTGTTGTGGCAATAAAACATGACCGTAACACTTAAAGTAACATGTTGTAGAGCAACACCATATAAGGATGACAGTTTTGTAGTGTTTGCAGTGCAGGCAAATCTGACCTCGACATGTGTTGTAAATTATGCCTTCTGAACTCACCTTGTGTTTTCTTGCACTCCTACAATTTCTACCTCACTGTCTGAGGAGGGGATGTTGATGTGACCCTTGTGCTGAGGGGGTTCCCTGTGGGCCAGCTCTGCCTCCATGTGACCTGCAACACAACAACACACAATATATTTTAGAACGTACAGGGACATGTAGAATAGCAGTACACTAACAAAAGTCATTGAAAAATTATGCAATCCACACCTCTTCTGGAAGTTTGATGGACACGAACATCTGGTTCTCTTCATTGCAACAGATATCTATGTACATTTACATCTATGTCAATTGACTAACTGAATTTCTATGAAATACGTGTATAGCAAGACGAAAAATAAATAAAAGGCTAACAGAAAAAACACATTTGCAGCACCAGAAAGGAAAACACCTGGCTGCCTGTATCATTTCTGCTTCAAACTCCAAAGATCCCCCTTTCCAACCTTCGGAGCACGGTACAAAACGTATGTTTTATTCAACTGATCTTCCACCATGTTTTTATCTCTGAGATGTTGGTTCCTAGTGGCTAGGCTACTTGTTGCACTAACATTATCCCTGTTAAACAATCTCCTTGCGCCTGTCAAACTGTTAGCAGACTATACAGTAAGTCTTCCCAGACTGGGTGGACATTTTCAGTGTGATACACCAGGTTTGTAACTGACCTGCTGAGCGAGAGCACAGATGCTGTACTCTTACTGCCCCAGTGTTTGCTGCCATATCCTGGTCCCTGTGTGTTTTTAGCCTTTCGTGTGTTATCACGGTGGTCCGGCGCACTCGCTCCACAGTCACACTTAAGCTCTCCTGGTTAGAATCAGTGTCTGAAATATCATAGCGGCCCACTATGGGAGTCCCGTCTGCAGAAACAGAAAACACTTCATTATTAAAACCACGTCGTCTCTCAGGTTAGCGGACTTCAGTGCTCACAGTAGAAAGTAGCTACCTCCATTAGCGCAATAATTGCATTGCCATTTGCCCTGTGAAAAGGTTACAACCTCACTCAGACAATATAAGTGTTACACCCAGTTGCAGCACCCTATGGCAGATGATGTAACAGCAAACAACCCTGCAGCGGAGCAGAGTTAGGCCATCGGTGTAGTCTATATAGGCTAGTATAGCAGCTCATGATTTCAGCCTTGGTATCGGAGTGGATCAGAGACATACATACCCTCACTCTACAACTTCCAATATCTTATTTATTTGATGTTCCCGACCGCTAAATGCCACCTGCCATGCATGATAATGAATTAAACAAAACATTTCAGCTGTAAATATTTGTTGCCAGACAATTAATAAGTTAGGTTGAAGAGTAATAATTTAACTAACTACTTGCCTAGTAATAAAGCGTTAGCATATAGCAAATATGCCTACATAATTGCTTTGTTTTGCTCAACTGTAAATGTTTGAATATAATATCTAGGCTATATCAGCCTTATTCAAAATGTCCAGATGACTGATGTCAAACTGAAAATGTTCAGAAATCATAGCGTATAATCTGTGCTCAGTGTTAAATGTGCAATTGGCACATCGGATGTGCAACTATTACCTATTCTAATGTGTGTTTTATGCATGACCTACCGATATATAGTCTGCAATGAACTCAAAACAGATTACAGAATTTATTTTGGGTATCCTTTTTAATGCTTTTCAAATAACAGCCATTCACAACAAAACAAAAAAAACTACCATGGATGCAATCATTACAAAAAAAATCTGAAATGTTCTTTAGACAGTTCAAAATCTGTATTAAATGTTCTCATGTGAATGCAATTAAGCAAGTAAACAATTAAGCAGTAGTTTGACAAAAAAAAAACTGCAAAAAATAAAAAAGATAAAAGTTTCACCCTTTGTTATATTCTAGAAAAACCCTGGTAGAGTATTGGGGGACATGCGTCGGTCGAGTGTCTGCTCTGTTCTACCCTGTAAGAGGAGTCAGTTACACATAGCCTAGGCCACATGCTGAGGGTCATCTAGACCAGGGTTTCCCAATCTCGGTCCTGGGCCAACCTCACCCCCCCACTCCCCCATGTAGTGCTAGGGCAAAAACCAAAACATGCACCCCGAGGGGGCCCCAGGACCGGGTTTGGGAAACTCTGATCTAGACAGCATACTTTGAGTGCGCAGACAGTGCAGTATGGGGAGTCAAGTCAAGAGCCAGATGGGCACCAGGGTTACAGCGAATGCCAGGCACTCAAGTCTATAAGGGTTGTCACTAGTTAATACAGCCACAAAGTCATGACTAAACACCCATTCCTAAAAAGTATCTTCTTAAAAATCTGATTTTAAACCTAACCTTAACCCCAACTTTAACCATACTGCTAATCTTATGCCTAACCATAACCTTAAATTAAGACAATTTTGACTTTGTGGCTGTGTTATCTAGTGGAAACCCAGAGTTTTTCCAGACTGGTCAGGATTAGGAACAACTCCTAGTCCTCCTTATAACTAGTGGAGATAAAAGGAGCTCCAAAAGTATTGGGACAGTGAGATGTTTTTGCTCTGTACTCTAGCACTTTGGATTTGAAATTATGCCTATGAGGTTAAAGTGCAGACTGTCAGCTTTAATCTGAGGGCATTTTTCATCGGTATCAGGTGAACTGTTTAGAAATTACATAACTTTTTGTACATAGTCCCACAAATTTAGGGGACCAAATGTATTGGGACAAATTCACGTTAATTAAAGTAGTCAAAAGGTTTAGTATTTGGTCGCATATTCCTAGCACACAATGATTACATCAAGCTTGTGACGCTACAAACTTGTTGGATGCATCTGCTGTTTGTTTTGGTTTAAGGTTCTTTTGTGCCCAAAAGAAATGAATGGTAAATAATGCATTGTGTCATTTTGGAGTCACTTTTATTGGAAATAAGAATATAATGTTTCTAATAACATCTACATTAATGACAAAAACTGCTGTAATTTCTAAACGGTTCACTCAATATGGATGAAAATACCCAAATTAATGCTGAGTCTGCAGTTTAACCCCATAGTCATAGTAAATCCAAAGTGCTAGTGTTTCACTGTCCCAATACTTTTGGAGCTCACTGTAAACCAAGATTCTCTCTTTGGTAAACATAATCGTGTGTTGTATTTCTGTGTTGTATTTTTTAAAAATCTATTTAACTCTGCATCGTTGGAAAAGAGCTTGTAAGTAAACATTTCACTGTAAGGGTCCTACATCTGTTGTTTTCGGCGCATGTGACAAATACAATTTGATTTTAATACCTGTCCTCAATGGAAAATGACCATGAATGTTTTTGATGCACTTGTAAAATCGGGCACTCTCTCTTCAGTGAGCTGCTGACATGATACAATACTGTGGTAAACAAATGGAAGACCATTTACAGTACTGGGATCCGAACAGGACAAGGCGGCAAACTAAATATGTCAGATGAACTGTGCGTCATGAAATTGTAGGCAGGAGACGAGAGCTGGACCAAGTCCTGTTAACATAAAACCAAAAGGAAGTTGTCACTCACTACAACTCATGAGCATACGAGCAAAGGTTTACCTTGCACACAGGCTGATCAAAAATTATGAATTATTCTTTGACATTTGCACATATACATTAAGGGAAGATCACATGCAAACAGTAAAACGTTATGCAGATTAAACACATCGTGTGTAATTGAGAACTGTGTAGCTATAATGTGTATGGAGTACATTTTCAAGTGCAAATTACAATGTTCCAAAAGACACCGCCCTATTGAATATGCTTCCAGCTATGTTCCTTTAGCCATGTCCTGGATGTGTAGGTAGTGTTTGAAGTCATTCTTGTTTTATAAGTAGCTGGAGAAGGTTGTTCAGACTCAAGCAATCACAGGCTCTGAACTAGAAAAGGCCACATGGTCACCTGTATCTTAAGTAGGCCTATGTAGGAACCAGTAAACATTAACATGCGCTATACTGCTCTGGAGCCCAAACTCTATAATGATCGTGTGAAACCTGGTTTCAGCTTGATAATAAAAGTCATATCAATACAACTACTATTCTAAAAAAAAGGCAGCATTTGCGTCAAGCACAGGCCAGGTTGGCAGACAAACACAACCAACAGCAGACCAGAGTTGGCACACAACTATTATGAGGATATGGAAAGACATTTGAGGCGCTTGATATTTTAGCTCCTATTCAGCACAAAAGATCACATCCACGATATGCACATGAAACAGTTTCTCTCCACTGCCATCATAGTATTAGGCCTAATCTTTCACGGTCTCAGTGCCACCACAATACCAGTTCAGGTTAAAAATAAAATATTTAAAAAGTTGGACATCCAATTTCAAGGAATCGTATGGGGCTGAGTATACTGCGCTAATGTAATTCTCACTAGAATGTTTACTGTTAGTAAAGCTATACCACAAAAAGTAAAGGCTGTGAAAACATTGACAAGTATTTAAATCAATTACTAACCCAGTGGATGTGGCTGTAAGTAAAATGGCACTATGACAACGTTCTTATTCCCAGCATAAATTCCGTATGACAAGGCACATGCCATGAAGCAGCCCCCTGCCCATGTGGCTGTCTGGGGTGTTATAATGCACGTTATTGTATGATGCATTTTGTATGAACTGACACAGAGTGAGTTAGCTGGTAAACATGTATACTGTTGGAATAGGCATACTGCAAGCAATACAATGAGAGGCCTGACTTGACAGTCGGTCGATAAAATATGCATTGTCCGTGTCAATGATGCAATTTTTTCTATAACTTGCAGATAAGTAAATTGGCTCCAGGAACCGATTAGTTATTTTTTTTTACGCATTCAAAATATTTAGGAGATCTCACAGTGATTCAGCACCCACAGCTGCCATGAGCCACACAGTTCATGGAGGACTTCAGAGTGTCATTCAAATGTAATCAACCATCGATTGTGTGTTGGTTTGGTACTTGCACAGTCTTCAGTTAAAAACACACAGTCAAGGCCATGCTCACCATGTTAACTATTATGTAATACCACACATTAGGGACTTCCAGTAGAATTGGAGGGTTGGTGATTAAAATCCATTTTTCAAAAAAGCGGAAATCAGATAAGCACATTTGCCATCATCACTGTATGTGTGATGGTAGTGGAACTTTATCCATTTGGAAAATACAGCACTAAAGCGCTCCACGAGTCCAACAAGGGAATCTAAACGTTCAAGAGGCTGGGGTCTGGAACGTCCAGGTTTCCATTTTGGGTAGCCACTGGCACTACGTCAGGCAGGATGTTGTTGTTGAGGGGGTCGGGGGCCATGCTGCTCATGGTGACGTTGGCATTCCCCCGGGCCAACGTGTACGCCGCCATTGTCTCCTGCGACTCCGAGGAGGGCAGGAAGGAGCTTGACGGGCGCGGCGCCCTGTGGTGGTGCCGATGGTGCCGCCCGGGGGCGTCGCTCGAGTGGATGGACGAGTCGACGCTGTCGTCCGAGTCGAGGCGCGTCAGCTTCTCCATCCAGACGCGGAAGCGCTCCTCTGTCTGCCGCTGCATCACAGCGAAGCGAGTCATGGCCTCCTCCAGCACACTGCCGATGCTGTTCCTGTCCCACGAGCCGCCGCCATCCAGCAGGCCCTGCATCTGAGCGCTCACTCCGGAACCCTCCGCAGCACGGCGGAAGCCAGCTTTAAAGACATTGAGGCCAAGCCATAAGAAACACAGTAGCACTTTATGGTCGCTGGTGGACTGTTTATCAGTATAAAAAAAATAGAAAATGACAAGTTTTGTTGACGTGCAGATCGACTTTTTCATGCTGATGATGGACTACGTTCATGCAGTTGTAGCAGTCAGGTCTGTGTACGAAATGCAGTAATGGTTGATAAAATGGAGTTCTATAGATCCACTATAGACGGAAATTGGTGTTTTAAGAGATTTAGTTGCTGTAAATCGTTGTAGCAAATGTTTACTGAATATTAACCGTGCATAGTTTGTGATAAGATAAACAACCCTGAAATACGTTTGACTATGTACGGACCCACAGCGTAAAAAATAACCCAGACAGACAACAGCACAAGCACCATGGTTTTGACATTTCTCCTTGGACATCAAATGTACTTAATCCAGCTAGATATGACTTATTTGAACTAGAACCAATTTCAAAATGTGATTCAAATAAAAGATCATGTCTACCTACGCACATCCAGAAGCCTTATGCAGTTATGTGGTAATCAAAGAAAGTGTAAAGGGGGAAAAGGTCAGTTACAGCTGAGGATTGCCATGTTCTCTACAAATTATCTTAAACTACAATAGCCCTGCTTGAGTGCAGGCAAAGCATTGTACCAACATCTCCATGTTATGGCAGTGCTTTAACCCAGTCTAAATTAGGACAACAACAATGCTACCTCAAACTAATATAAATGTTGTCATACCACTGCCAAGATGCAATGTCAAAACACTAGCTGCCACAGCGAGTAATACCAAGTTCAAAACTTTTATAAACCAGCTAGCAACATCGTTGACATACCAGGTCTTAGAAACAGAGGAAATAACTCAATATAAAAAGTAAAGAGTTTAAAGCAATATCGGTCATCTTCATTTGATCTACAGTACTAGTCTTACTGTATTTGATCCATTGTACTGATTGAAGTTGAGCAACACATCCTTTCTGTAAATCAAATCATCCCTCCAATTATCTGGAAATCAAGTCACAGGGGAATCTCAAAGGGCCACATTCAAATAATTCAACAGAATTTCTCAACCCAACCAGCACGGTGAGGCAGGCTACACATCCGGTGCTTGGTAGCAAGGGAATGGTGAATTAATGGAAGGCTCTGAGGATGGAGACATCTCATTCCATTCAGCCTCTATTATGACAAAGGACATTCACATTACAACGGACAGTGGAGTCTTCGATGTGAATGACACATTTACTACTATGTTCGTCACAGCTTTGAGATAGTACTATTGTATGTTTATCACAAGGTTACTACCACACAGGGAGGTCATATACTGTTGTAAAAACAGCTAATTATGGCAGCACAGACTAGACAAGTAAAACCCAATTGTAACACTCAGTAAATGATATCTACATTCCCCACAACATGCAAACAATGACAGAGTTTTAAAAGAACACTTCCTACGGGTGGATTACGTGGTGAAGACGTGATGGGTTGTAAACTTCAAAATGCATGGTGAACAGAGACAAATGAACAGTGGAACAGTTATTAAAACAATTAACAGTCAATCCATTTAAGATCCGCAAACATTCATAAACAGAAGCGTCAGTGTGTTTGCATTGGCTGGGGATGCTATTGTTACTCGACATCTCTGGTGAACGTATGTGAAATGATTCATGTGAGATGTCTGTGGCAACTGTTTTGGAGTCATTTTGTCATAATTACCTGTGATGTCTGTAGCAAATTGGGATCATTACCTTATGGTGCGCTACGTGGGTTACTTGGAATGCCTGTAGTACATGGGTCTTTCTATAGACTAGGGTACCAGGATTTCCTACGCTGGACGACTTGTTACCGCTGTTGATAAGTAATTGATAATAATCATCCAATTTTTTTTCATGTCATTGTATTAAGACAGTAGCTATATTCAATCAAATTCACGAGTTGATTTAAAACCTCTATCATGATTAGTGTCTTGACGGATTTGTCCAGAATCGTGACAATAAACATTACTTTTCTGTCCTTGCATTTATGGCAGTGTAAGTTGTCCTTATATCATATCTTACGCATTAATCAGTTCAATTAGACATTGAACTTGAACCCTGTAAGAGTTTTTTTGTATAGAGATTTCAGAAATGCAGTGTAACTACTTAACGGGTCTCCTTATGTAATGGGGTGAAAACAGTTTCTGGGCACACAAACCCCCCCAAAATTGTATGTGATTGCAAAATCGAATGATTCTAACAGAAAGAGTCACCTTACCTTGATCCTGAAAATCTAAAGCGATAGTCATTAATGTGGTTCTTCAATAATTATGCATAACACTTGCTGGATGAGCATTTGGTGTCCAGATGTCTAATTATGCTGTGATATTTTCACACATCTGATCCAGGAAGGAATTTTCTGAATGACAATCAAATGATGAACAGCTGTTGTGATAGCGCATGCGATGAAACAGCCCAAGTGCTGGAAAAAAGGTGTTTGCGAGGAATGGCCAAAATATTCAGGGTCTCTCATTCCTTACACTGGTGAAGACAGTTGTGCCTGGATCTACACTGGATCTATTATCCCTAGAGAATTTATGTTGATCATCTGTCGTTTGCTTGATTTAAAGAAGGGTCTCGTTAGATTTAACAGAAAGCGTCAAGGTAATGAGTATATGTTTTTGTGCCTCGGATTGGACACAGCCTACTGTGTGCAATTGTGTAGGATAGACTATTGCGCAACACCCAACTCTATTCCTATTAATTATTCAGGATATAATGACAAATTACATAGCCTAATAGGCATCTTCACAATATTATCTGATAATGAAATAACATGACAAATACATGTTGGTTTCCATGTTACACCTGCAATTTTAAACAATACGATGGGCTTGAAACAGCCTACTTAAACTCGAAGTTCAGAAATTCAAGTACTGGAATAGGCCTACCTTGAAAATCTGACATTTCCTAGAATTTGGTGCTTGAAAAGTCTTGAATTATTGTAGCCAATTTATAAGTTCTCCTGCACCCTTCTAATTATCGGTGATTTCCTTTCTTTCCCACCGCTTCAATTGAAGGGTGTGGCGCAACTCTGTTGCTGTAAAACCACATGCAGTGATTATGAGGACGACAAGATCTAATGCTGGCATCAACTTGGCTTTCCATACAAATCCTTCCATTACAAAAGGAACCAGGCTTTTGGCTGCGTTCTCATTATAAAAACAGCCACTATTCATGGCTTCATTATGTGTGCCTGTTTCGCCACATAGGCTAAAGAAAAATCACCATGCACGCATCCATTTCATTTAGTCAGGCAAGTCCACAGTATTCTCACATTTTAGAATGTAATAATCATTTTAATATCAATGCATTGGCAAGGCCTAAAAAATGCATTATTCTTAAAGTGGTAACGGCCTACTTTTGACAGTTCTTGCATGCTTTCTTTGTGGGGGGGGGGGGGGGGGGGGGGTTTCTATATTAGGCCCTATATGTGCAATTATATAAATTATACAATTGTATAACATTGAGATCCTTGACAACTACAATAAAGGGCTTGAAAAAGTCCCTCAATATGACTTGCCAATGTCTGTATGAACCCTGCTTAAAGGATGTATAGTCCCTAGGCCTGTTGTTGTAGTAGTAGAGGTGGAGTTACAGGGCAATTTGCATATACCTCCAAGTACACGTGGAACTGCATAAAACTCATTTTTATTTTTGTTTCAACACATTTTGAAAAGTTTATCCCAATGTCACACATTGGCCCCATTATTTATAGAAAGACCCAAACACATTAAACATGGGATATACAGTGCATTCGGAAAGTATTCAGACCCCCTTTTCTACTTTGTGTTACAGCCTTATTATGAAATTGATTAAATTGTTATTTTCCATCAATCTACACACAATATCCCATAATGACAAAGCAAAAACAGGTTAAGAAATGTTTGCAAATGTATTAATAAAAAACTGAAATATCACATTTACATAAGTATTCAGACCCTATACTCAGTACTTTGTTGAAGCACCTTTGGAAGCGATTACAGCCTCGAGTCTTCTTGGGTATGACGCTACAAGCTTGGCACAACTGTACTTGGGGAGTTTCTCCCATTCTTCTCTGCAGATCCTCTCAAGCGCTGTCAGGTTGGATGGGGAGCATCGCAGCACAGCTATTTTCAGATCTCTCCAGAGATGTTCGATCAGGTTCAAGTCCGGGCCACTCAAGGACATTGAGACTTGTCCCGAAGACACTCATTGTCTGAGAGTCTTAAGGTGCCTTTTGGCAAACACCAAGCGGGCTGTCATGTGCCTTTTACTAAGGAGTGGCTTCCGTCTGGCCACTCTACTATAAAGGCCTGATTGGTGGAGACCTGCAGAGATGGTTGTCCTTCTGGAAGGTTCTCCCATCTCCACAGAGGAACTCTTGAGCTCTGTCAGAGTGACCGTTGGGTTCTTCGCCACCTCCCTGATTGCTCAGTTTGGCCAGGCGGCCAGATCTTGGAAAAGTCTTGGTGATTCCAAACTTCTTCTATTTAAGAATGATGGTGGCCACTGTGTTCTTGGGGACCTTCAATGCTGCAGACATTTTTTGGTACACTTCCCCAGATCTGTGCCTTGACACAATCCTGTCTCGGAGCTCAACAAACAGTTCCTTCGACCGCATGGCTTGGTTTTTGCTCTGACATACACTGTCAACTGTGGGACCTTATATAGACAGGTGTGTGCCTTTCCAAATCATGTCCAATCAATTGAAATTCACCACAGGTGGACTCCAATCAAGTTCTAGAAACATCAAGGATTATCAATGGAAACAAGATGCACCTGTGTTTATTTTGAGTCTCATAGCAAAGGGTCTGAATACTTATGCAAATAAGTGTTGTTTTTATACATTTGCAAACATAAAAAAAAAAACTGTTTTCCCTTTGTCATTATGGGGTATTGTGTGTAGATTATTATTATTTTTATTTTTTTAATCAATTTTAGAATAAGGCTGTAACGTAACTAAATGTGGAAAAAGGGAAGGGGTCTGAATACTTCCCGAATGCACTGCATGTTTTGTGAATATTACCCTGTGTGGGTTGGGTTAGGTTAAATGTGTCTGGTGTTTATTGTTAACTGGGATGTCTGTGGTGATTACAGGGCTCTACAGTGCAACCTTTTACCTCGCATATGCAGGTAAATATTTTGCTGTGCGACCTGGAATTTTAATTTAGAAAAAATTAAGGATTCTAGCGTTAATACTTCAAATATTTTTCAACTTAGGCGCACAAGAGCTTCTTGTTAACAAGGTCAGCGTAGAGCCCTGGATTGTTACCTGGGACGTCTGGGGTGATTGTTACCTGGGACGTCTGGGGTGATTGTTACCTGGGACGTCTGGGGTGATTGTTACCTGGGACGTCTGGGGTGATTGTTACCTGGGACGTCTGGGGTGATTGTTACCTGGGACGTCTGGGGTGATTGTTACCTGGGACGTCTGGGGTGATTGTTACCTGGGACGTCTGGGGTGATTGTTACCTGGGACGTCTGGGGTGATTGTTACCTGGGACGTCTGGGGTGATTGTTACCTGGGACGTCTGGGGTGATTGTTACCTGGGACGTCTGGGGTGATTGTTACCTGGGACGTCTGGGGTGATTGTTACCTGGGACGTCTGGGGTGATTGTTACCTGGGACGTCTGGGGTGATTGTTACCTGGGACGTCTCGTTGGGGTGATTGTTACCTGGGACGTCTGGGGTGATTGTTACCTGGGACGTCTGGGGTGATTGTTACCTGGGACGTCTGGGGTGATTGTTACCTGGGACGTCTGGGGTGATTGTTACCTGGGACGTCTGGGGTGATTGTTACCTGGGACGTCTGGGGTGATTGTTACCTGGGACGTCTGGGGTGATTGTTACCTGGGACGTCTGGGGCGATTGTTACCTGGGACGTCTGGGGCGATTGTTACCTGGGACGTCTGGGGCGATTGTTACCTGGGACGTCTGGGGCGATTGTTACCTGGGACGTCTGTGGCGATTGTTACCTGGGACGTCTGTGGCGATTGTTACCTGGGACGTCTGTGGCGATTGTTACCTGGGACGTCTGTGGCGATTGTTACCTGGGATGTCTGTGGTGATTGTTACCTGGGATGTCTGTGGTGATTGTCTTGCCGCCTGATGTCTCGTCGTCGTCTTCAGAGGAGCTGGTGCTGGAGTCACAGGTGAGGTCACTGTCGCTCGTACTACTGTCCTGCAGCAGGTTGTATTTCTTCCTCGCTGCCGCCTCACGCTTCTGCCTCAACAGACGAATCCGCTCCTTGTGCTTTTGGCTCCGGTGACCTTTGACTTTAGCCAGCCGGCCATTGGTCTGCTTCTCGCTGCCTGCTCCTCCCACCACAGCGGGCTGGCAGCGGTTTTTCTTGGCTGCCATTGTGTTGGTGGACATCTCGCTTTCAGAACGTGAACGCCGGGACTTTCGCCCACTTGATGCAGATATTTGACCCCCTGCTGCAAGTCTGGTGTCGGCCCCGGGCTCCATGGAGCCCCCATCCACTGTCGCACGTGAGGCGGATCTCTCCTCACCAGAGGAGAGTGTGTCTGAGTCGGCCAGGTGGCCGCTGGAGGAGGGCGAGAGCATGCAGGGGTTGGAGGAGTCGCTCTCGTAGGCACGGCCCGAGGTGGGCTTGTCGCTGCCGGTGGAGGCATGCTGGGACTCATGGGAGTTTCTCCTCAGCTCTTTCATGAGGCAGGGCATGGAGAGAAGGCTGGGCTCACCCTCTGTCTGCAGGGGGCTGTCCCCCTCCTTTTCTCCTGGCGGAGAGCTGGTGGTCTCTGTTTTAAGGGGCTCCTCCTGCTCCCCCCTGACAGCAGCAGCTGACCCCCCCTGCACAGGGCACTCTGGGAAGATATCAGCATCCACAAACTCCTCGGTGTCTGCCATCTTCACGCTAGTTGAGCGTAGGGCCCCGTGGTCTGACAGTTTTAGAAGGGTGGGCCAGGACAGGAACTCACCTGGAACAACAATATATGATATCGCACAGATTTAACTTTGGTTCAAAAAGACCTACGCTTGCACCCATTCTAATATTGATATATCTTTAAGTCTGAACACATTAAAAATTAATCATCCTCTTGCAGGATCTTTAAAATGACGCAGTACAACAGACCGACTTATGAAAGGTGTAGCTCAGTGTTTCCCAACTCTGGTCCTCAAGTACCCCCAACAGCACACATTTGTCTTGTAGCCCTAAATGAACATACCTGATTCAACTTATTGAGGGCCTGATGATTAGTTGACAAGTTGAATCAGGTATGTTTGTCGGGGGTTATGATAAAAATGTGTACCTTTGGGGGTACACGAGGACCGGAGACGGGAACCACTGGTAGCTTAATAAAAAACATTTCAATGAAGTACCAGCAGCCTACAACAGTACCAATAGGCAATTTAGCACCAATTAATCTGGCTGCATTTACAGCTGTAGTGGGGTATGTTTACATTTTAGTCATTTAGGAGACGTTCTTTTCCAGAGCGACTTAAATGAGCAATTAGGGTTATGTTTGCTCAAGGGCAGACATATTTTTCACCTAGTCGGCTCTGGGATTTGAACCAACAACCTTTCGGTTACTGGCCTAATGCTCTTAACCGCTAGGTTACCTGCCACCCTAAAACCAATAATGAACCAAAAGTGTAAAATATGGGTATTTGGTAGCATTCTCACATAAGAAAGGTTATCCGCTAGATGCTGGCAACACCTGTTCTACTGGTTTAACTTTGAACCCCCTCATGCCTTCAGCTTACAAATATCTGCTGGATCCAAACTTTTACCATTGTGTGGAATGGCAACATACATGTAGGAAGGAAACGCCTACAAATGGTGAGCTTCTTCTTGCAAACTGTATCATGAACTCTTCATTGCTCAAATTCACAGCATTCCACCGAAATACACCTAAACATAAGATTGATGTGGCACAGCTGGTAGACTAACCTTGCACCGACATTTAATATATTGCCCAGTAGTTTTATGGTGCTTTCAAGACAACTGGGAACCTGGGGGAAAAAACTAAGTAAAAAATCATGACGTCAGAGATATTCAGGTCGGAGCTCTAGAAAGTTTCCGCCTTGGAATTCCGAGTTGGATGACCATTCAAAACGTTTTTCCCAATCGGAGCTCGTGTTTTTCCGAGTTCCAGTTGTCTTGAATGCACTGAAGTCAGAATTTGAGTTACCCAGTTGTTTTGAACGCGGCATTATAACAGTAGGTTTGTGGCTTCAAATAATGGCGTCATGACACCACTCTGTGTGGGCAACTACGAAACTCAAGTCCGGGGATCTTTGCGCCACACCTTACAGTAGCCCAGGACAAGAGCAAGCTCAGATAGACAGAGCCTCATCTATCACATATGAATAACATCACTGGCCGATTTAACATTACGAAAAACGAAATGTTGACCTATGTAACTACCTGGCTAGCTAGCTCGAAAACTTAGCTAAAAAGCAACTACACGTCACTATCAACTGGCTGGCTAGCAATCAAAAATATTGCTAACTTACGTTAACTGCGCTAAACATACAGCAAACCAGTAACGCCAGGAAGCTGGCTTCCTTCTTCCTTTGCTAGTTATCTAGCTTGATGGTAGCTTCGCTGTCTGGCTAGGTAACTAGCTAACAGGGAAAAGATTGAGGCAAACTGTGGTTGAGGGTTTCGTTTGCTATCGAGCTAGCTATGACTTACGACGTTAGCTAGTTTGCTAAGCAAGTTTCCCAAAAATCGAGTTTGACGAATGGAGTTGCTAGGGGGATTTCTAAACATAGTCCACCATCCATGCATGCATGCATTTGTGATACCGCTAGCACGAACTCGATGGGCAGCTAGTAAGCTACCTAAAATGGAAGCGACGTATGCTAACGACGATTCCATTTTAACGCAGCCCAGTAGCTAGCCAGCCAGTTCGCACTGACGGCGTAGCTAGCTATGCAGGTTAATATGCTAGCTAAACTAGCAACTTACTTGTGTGTTACGTTATACGCTTGTTTCTTCAGTGTCCGACTTCTGTGTCATCTTCATTAATTTGAACGTATCACGCATGCGAGATATACAACTAATAAAGTGAAGTGAACCTTGGTCCACTCACTCACGAATACCAGCTAGCTACTTATTTCAAAATGTCCCCATCAGCCGTTGTTCACATAAAAATGTGTGCGTCACTTCCATGCGTGAGTGACATAGAAAAAAAACTTGCGCCACCGTGCGTCTTGGGAGAGGTATGCCGCGTTTAAGACAACTGGGAACTCGGGAAAAAACGAGCGTTTAAGACAACTGGGAACTCGGAAAGAAAACGAGCTCCGACTGGGAAAAAACGTTTAACGGTCACTCCGAATTCTAAATCGGAAACTCGGGCATCTTTCCAAAGCTCCGACTTTCCGAATTGAAAATCACTGACGTCACTAGTTTTTTTGTTGAGTTCTCAATTGTCATGAATGCAACAATTTGGATGCCAACCGCCGTTGAACTACATCGAAGGAAGTAGGTGCACACCATTTTAGCTATCCATTAAAACGGCGACATGTGAATTCTTCCATAGTAGCCGTTATACCTTGGCTAGCAGAAAGGGTAAAAAGTAATTTTTCAGCTAAGCTGTTCTTGCAAATACACGTTTTCTTCCTAATCGAGGACGAAGAAAGTATATAATGCCTGTGTTCAGTTTCATATGGTTCTCCAAAAACCAGAGAATATTCATAAAGATAGTAAAATCCACGTTTTGCACTGAGTGAGAAATGCCTCTTGTATGTGCGTAGACACGTAATGAACTGCCTGTGTTCAGTTTCATATGGTTCTCCAAAAACCAGAGAATATTCATAAAGATAGTAAAATCCACGTTTTGCACTGAGTGAGAAATGCCTCTTGTATGTGCGTAGACACGTAATGAACGGAACAAATGGAATGGCATCAAACACATGGAAACCATGGGTTTGATACCATTCCACCAACTCTGCTCCAGCCATTATCACGAGCCCGTCATCCCCAATTAGCGTGCCACCAACCACCTGTGGTAGGTCTTTGCTTTGGTCGCACTGTGTGATGAGCTGTCATCTTCGCAAGAGCACGCCCGCGGCCAAGGTGACAGCGCATCACACAGTACGACCAAAACAAAGATCTATACGCATGCAAGAGGCATTTCTCACTATCTTTATGAATATTCTCGGGTTTTTGGAGAACAATCTGCAACTGAACAAGGTATAACGGCTACAATGTAAGAATTCACTATCTCCGTTTTAATGTAGAACTAACACCATCTATCATGCACTTGCACACACTGTATTTTGGTTGAAACATATCACTAATTTTCATAGAACTAGTGAGTGTACAAAACATTAGCAACACCTGCTCTTTCCATGACAAACTGACCAGGTGAAAGCTACGATCCCTTATGATGGTAAATCTGTTAAATTCAGTGTAGATGAAAGGGAGGAGACAGGTTAAATAACGATTTTTAAGCCTTGCGACGTGTGTGCCATTCAGAGGGTGAATGGGCAAGACAAAAGGTTTGAGTGTCAAGAACTGCAACACTGCAGGGTTTTTCACAATCAACAGTTTCCTGTGTGTATCAAGAATGGTCCACCACCCAAAGGTCATCTAGCCAACTTGACACAACTGTGGGATGCATTGGAGTCAACATGGGCCAGCATCCCTGTGGAACGCTTTCGACACCTTGTAGAGTCCATGCCCTGACAAATTGAGGCTGTTTTGAGGGCAAAAATGGGTGCAATTTAATATTAGGAAGGTGTACCTAATGTTTTGTGCACTCAGTGTAAAAGGCACTGTATGGTCAATCTGTCATCTGCATTAGCCGTGCAGCATTTAAGGTGATACGGCCTCTGCAGAAGTCAGGGCATTCATACATCTTGCGCTTCGCAGAGCAGAGCTGTTGTCAAGGAATTGAGTTTATACAGGACCTCCCGCCCCCACCTACCATCAAACAATCATGTATACGGAGCCCTCCACATTGTTACAACATTTGGGAGGCGCACGGCGATGCAGAGCTCAATTTGGAATCTGCATGCCTCCGGAAGCTCCGCGATTGCGTCACACCCTCCATACGGAGCCTCCGACCACATTTTCGGATCAAGCATAAATTGTCTTTCAATCACAAATGGTGAGTCCTCTTCCTCACCTATGATCTCGTAAGACAGATAAGTTCCCTGTTTAGTTTTAACACATTCTGAAATAAATATAGCCCAAGCAGCCCATGACAAGTTGGATGAAAAACATATTACGATTTCCATTGACATTTATTATCATTACATATACTTTCTACAATTACAATCCCCAAAATTCATGTGTCATTTTAAAGGCCGCCCTTTAGGCATGGAGGAATTCATGAAGTCCACCTTCATCTCCAGTTGAGCATCAACTGCAGCCTTAAACAAGGAGAAAACAGTTCAATTCAAATATAATTGTGACAATGTACAGTAACATCACAATATTCCTGTTGTATTGTAGAATGGCAAAACTCACCAATTCTCGCTTTGCCTCTTCAATTTTCACTTGAGCAAGAGATGGACTCTAGGGAACAATGATTTCATTAAGCAGAGCATATCACCAAAAGAAAAAGGAAAATTTAAATGACCGTTTCAAAAAATAAAAAAAACATTTCTTAACTGGGCTCAAATCTCTGTAGGGTTCTAGTTTCTTTGACAAAGGTAGAATTTCTTGTTTCAATGTGGAAACTTGCTGCAGAGGGAAGAACAGAAACTAATTGCAATACATTTCACAGCAAAGGAGAACAGCAAACACTTCCATCTTAAAAAATCATAACATGAGGATACCTCACAGAGCTCCAAGAGAGCTTGGTGGGAGATTCGATTCTCCATGTGTCTGGATGCCAGCTGGTCCTGAGGGTGAGAATGAAAATGCATTGCTTATGACAAAAGCCAAATGGATAACATAAATGCATTTCTACCAGTCAAAAAGCCCTAACCACCTAACCATGTTTCCAAGGTTGACTTTTGACTTCTCAGCTCAATAAATCAAAAGCTACCCCAATCCAACATAACAAAACTAGAAGCGAACCAGAAAGGATTTCTTGACCTTTTAAGAAAATGGAGTAAACAACATAAACAGCACATAAGATGACAGAAGTCAAAGGCACTAACCTCTGCCTTCTTGTTTCGGTATGAGAGGTCTTTGGATTTTGCTTTGACAAAGTCCATATTCAGTAGTCTTTCTTCTGCTTTGGCACTCTCCACCTCTTGAGCTTTCATTGTTTTCTTGATGTCCCTGTAATCAGATGATTATGTAAATGAATGAACTCTAGAGCTTTACAGATGTGAGCATTTCAAATAATGCAACATTTCAGGTTCATGACTGTGTGATCCTCTTACTCTTGTAAGGTTTTCCGTAGAACAAGAACGGCCCCAAGTTTATTTCTGAGGGCATTGAGCTCCCTATCAAGTCTCCTGTCCGTCTTCTCAGATTCCAGAAGCTCATTGGTCAGGTTATTCACCGCAGGCACAAAGCTAAACAAACAGCATGGATGTAAGATTATTTTCTTGCAAGTTTATCATGAGAATCCATTTTGTATGGCTTTCTGTGTGTACTTCTTTAGATAGGCAGCATTGTACATCAGTGCATTACCTGCTCAGAGATGTGTCTCGGACACCAAGTACCTTAGCGTTGGCCATCAATGCTGACAGGTAATCTGATGCAGGTTTTGACAAGCTTCCAGAGGATAAGCCCACTCCTTGTAAAACAACATCCTGGAGATGAACACCTAGAAAGATAGTTTAAATCAAAGATACAACATTGTGCAAAAAAAGAAAGAAGACCCTTTGCACAGCAGTGTGTTTAGACATGTCAGCCAGAGTGGGGCTTTTTTTTTTTTTTGTCATTTAGCAGACGCTCTTATCCAGAGCGACTTACAGGAGCAATTAGGGTTAAGTGCCTTGCTCAAGGGCACATCGACAGATTTTTCACCTAGTCTTGAAGTTGAACCAGTGACACATAATATGCCCCATGTGTCTCAATCATTCAAGGAACCGCTTAAGCTAAATTTAACAGTACATGCAATGTTCACTTTACCATCAGCCTGATACTCAGAGGTTTTCTGTTTTTGATCCTCAATGAGCAGGGAAGTCTCATTGCATCGAACTTCACTTGCTTCTGCGAACTGGTACAGTATGTCGAGTGTCCGTGTGTTAACTTCATATTCTGGAATAGTTTGATCTCCAAAGACCGTGCTGAGCCACTTGCTCACCTGAAAAGTAGAAACAAACATCAAGTTTACAGCTAGCTTGTTAGCATAGATTTACAGCCTTGAGAGATGGTTTAAAAAAAAAACAGAAATTAAACAAAATAAGAGCACAAATAAAATCTTTGCTATTAACACTACCTTCTTGTTCTTTTCACACATATCAACGGGCAACCCAGACAAACAATACAGTAAATGCCTGACTCTTGGCTGAGAGTGGCTTTCTGAAAGTAATCGGGATGCTGACCGTGACCCGAAACGTTTCCCGCGCCCCCTTCATTCTACAGCTTCCGGTTTGAGAGACGAATTTGATTGGATGTTTGAAATAGACCAGCCAATGAGAAAAACTCTTTATTTAAAACGGAAGTAGGGTTTGTTCTGCCCAATAGTGTTCAGATAGATTATTGACATAAACAAGATTGTATCCGACTTTATGATGACAATGTCAATATCCAATAATCTAATCTAATAATAAACGCAGTTGATAACATTAACGAAAAAAATGATTTCATATGATTTTGCAAGTATTTCCGGTTCACGGTATCCTTTCTCACCCTGTCCTCCATCTTCTTAACGCGATTTAAACAGTACGTGGAGTTGGACAAATCCGCGTAGAAACATCAATAACTATGCTGTCAGTTCGCGTTGCCGCGGCCCTTGTCCGCCGGGCTGGATTTGTAAGCTTTTTGTGTTATGCTGTTGTCTGAGTTGTGTTATTATACTTTTTTTAAGTTATTGCCGCGTTCATGTCTTAGTCGGAAACTAGGACACTCGGAAATTTCAGATTTACTAATCGGTTGTAGTTATACACGTGCTGCGTTCAACGAATCAGTAAGGGTTAGTGCTATCCGGGATCCTACCCTAAACCCTAACCCTTTAAAAAAAAATTGAACTTCAATGGGGTAGGGACGTCCCAATGATCCCGGATTGCATGGACAAATGAACAAGTCGGACATTTCCGAGTTTCCTAGTTCCGACTAGCATGTGAACGCGTCATCAATATGTGCTCGAATATTGGGAAATGATAAGTCCGTGCATACAGACGGCCATCTTGCACTGTTGATACAAGCTAGTTCTCCCTAACGTTAGTTAAAGAAAATGGTAAAAGTCCATACCGGTAGTTGTATTTACAGTTATGACACATTGATCACACAACTATATCAATCAACTAGTCAAGCGACTGTATGGATGTAATTCAGTATGAAGATCTATGCCGCGTTCAAAACAACGGAACGCGGAAATCTCCGACTTTAGTATGTTCAAGAAAACTGGGAGGGGGGTGTAAACGAGCTCTGACTGGAAAAATCGTTTTGAACGGTCATCCAACTCGAAATTCCAAGTCGGAAACTCGGGCATTTTTGTAGAGCTCCACTTTCGGACCTTAAAATCGCTGACGTCATGTCCCCCCCCCCCCCCCGAGTTCCCAGTTTTCTTGAAAGCACCAAAAAAGTGTGTTATCTACGATGACCAGATCAAAATGACAGTAGATCACCCAACGGCGTTACACTCTAGTCAATGTTGTAATGTTATGTATCTTGTCAGCCAAGTTGCACAACTTCTGTTTCTTTGTTATACACGCTCAGTGCATTTTATTGATTGTTTGCCAATTAGTGATACCTATCAACATGGCAACTCATCCACTGACAGTTAGTTGACAGTGAGAAGAAGCAAGAGGAATAGGAGGCAAAGTTTAAATGGCAGGGTAATTTTAAACTTGTATGTAAAAATGTCTGTCATTACTATACTCAAAATATGGTGAAGATTTGAGGATAACTATTTTGCATGGAAAGGATTTCAACTGTAACATGATCTCAACCACTGTCCTTGCAGGTCTCCAAAAATGTTTCTGCCGCTGCATGTGTAGGAGCCAGGCACCTGCACACCACAAAGCCATGGATGGCCAAGACGGGTCAGATCTCTTGAATTATACATGTTGCCAAAGTTTGTAGTAGCAATGTCCCTTGAGAAAGTGGATTGTACTAAGACATTTTCAATAGCTTGGGGGTAGGGACAACTGTCATGGTCTTGAGCAATAATAACAGTTGGGACTATAATGTTAAACAATTTAATGTTACTTTTCACAATGCAAATTGTTTAGCAAACATCCATCTGTAATAATAGGCCTTTTAATCTGTTACATTCACTGATAAAATGTACTCCAAATCTGACTGCGAAGATATTTAATGTTTAAAAAAATCTGCGATTTGGTGGTCCCCGGAAAGGAAAAGGTACCGCTGGCCTAGATAACTGATAGTGAGGGGTGTAAAGTAATATTTTCTTTGTACTGCTTCTTTGTAGGGTCCCCTTGGGTCCAGAATCCGTAGGCGTGTGGGTCTGAAGGCCCCTGGCATCATCCCCTGTATCGCTGTTTGAGAGCCCATGTAGACTGGCATCAAGGCCGTGGACAGCCTGGTGCCCATTAGCCGTGGTCAGCGCGAGCTGATCATCGGGTGACAGGCAGACTGGGTAAGACCATAGCCCTACAGGTGTGAATATTGTAGTGTATGGCAAGGCTTGGTATTCAATGCCTAGACCACGTGAACTTGAGTTGTAGTGGCTAATGCATGGGGAAATTGGAGGGAAAAATTGAAGTCATGTCAGTCTGATCCACTTACGTCACATCTCTTCTCATTCCTAAACCAGCAGTTAATCTTGTTATTGAGGACAATGGTCAAGTAAAGGCCTGTTAATCAGCTCCTTGTATTTTTCATGGTAGACGTGTCAGATGTCGACTTATATGGTCATACGTGTGTAGTGGATGCGGAAATTACCTGTAGCAAATTGGCTGGAGTACATCGGTGAACTCACACCTTCCCTGAGATCTAAAGGCAAGTGTCGCTCACAGTGACAGACTAGTCACTTGCTTTGTTGGCTAAGACGGTTGGCTTTGAGTTGCGTGTGTTGTGCAGAAGGTTGCTAGTTCATTGCCCGCTTGGAGCAGAACAGAATGCACTGCTCTTACACATGCATGTTTTGTCATTCACTTGAGTTTTTATAAATGATACAATCTTCTTTCCAATGTCTTTCCTTCGTAGGAAAACCGCCATTGCCATCGACACCATCATGAACCAGAAGCGCTTCAACAACGGCACCGACGAGAAGAAGAAGCTGTACTGCATCTACGTCGCCATTGGTCAGAAGAGATCCACCGTGGCCCAGCTGGTGAAGAGGCTGACTGACGCAGAAGCCATGAAGTACACCTTCGTGGTGTCCGCCACAGCCTCCAACGCTGCTCCCCTGCAGTACCTGGCCCCTTACTCTGGCTGCTCTATGGGAGAGTTCTTTAGAGACAACGGCATGCACGCCCTCATCATCTACGACGATTTGTCCAAGCAGGTCAGTTCAAGCGATGGGGCTCTGAGGTCGATATCTGATTAAGGTTGATCTTAAATAACATCCTATTCCTCAGTTTATACACTACTTTCACCAGCCCTATACGGCTCTGACAATGCACTAAAACACTATATGGGGTATAGGGTGGCACTTGTTATTCTATGCTCAACCTTGATGTGATGCTAACCTTGCTTCCCACCTCTGTCACAGGCTGTGGCCTACCGTCAGATGTCCCTTCTGCTGCGTCGTCCCCCCGGTCGTGAGGCCTACCACGGCGATGTGTTCTACCTCCATTCTCGTTTGCTTGAGAGCAGCCAAGATGAAAAAAAACGTTGCTACCTCACCGCCCTGCCCGTCATTGAGACACAGGCCGGTGATGTTTCTACCTACATTCCAACCAACGTCATCTCCATCACAGACGGACAGGTGTGCTAAAATATGGTTTTCATAATTAATCAGGAGCTGAAAATATAAGTGTAATGATCTGATTTAAATGGAGCTACCTCAAACCTATCCTTGCATTTATTCCTGATTTGTCATTTTTGGTAATGGCACTTGTCAACTTAGGATTGATTGATTGTTAGGTGTTTAACCTATTGAAAAACTGAACCCATGACTCAACTCATGCATTTGTCTCTCTCAGATCTTCTTGGAGACTGAGTTGTTCTACAAAGGTATTCGACCAGCCATCAACGTCGGTCTGTCTGTGTCACGTGTCGGCTCTGCCACCCAGACCAAAGCCATGAAGCAGGTGGGCCACTAATTAATTTACCCAGTATTTATCATTTGGATCTAGGCGCCTGCGTTAGAAACCCACACAAAAGGGAATAGTGTCCCACTTGTGATTGATCCTGTTTTCTCCCTGGTAAGGTGGCTGGTACCATGAAGCTGGAGCTGGCCCAGTACCGTGAGGTGGCTGCCTTCGCCCAGTTTGGTTCTGACTTGGACGCTGCCATCCGGCAGCTGCTGCTGAACCGTGGTGTTCGCCTTACCGAGCTCCTCAAGCAGGGGCAGTACTGTGAGTATCTCCTAGGATGCGTTGTTCTGGTCACATTTGTATGATTTTAATCAACTGAAATGTTGATTGTGTGCACTGTCCCTGTTAAATAAATTGCTTGAGTAGATGAGACTGAGTTCTGTATTTCCAGCGGGTCGTCCTTAGTAAAGTTTGCTCTATTCACTGCTGTGCTTTATTTATTCCCTTGCCTGTGTGACTGACTGCATCCTTTTTGACCTGCAGGCCCCATGGCCATTGAGGAGCAGGTTACAGTAATCTATGCTGGTGTGAGGGGACACATGGACAAAATGGACCCAACCAAGATCACAAAGTTCGACGGCTTTCCTTCAACATGTTCTCAGCCAGCACCAGGACCTCCTAACACAAATTAGGTCAACCAAAACAACTACCACCACGTTTTTGCCAGCTTTCGCTTTATGTTCAGCATTGTTATTGGACTCCTTTTGTACGTTATCATAACATGGCATGAACATATTTTAACCCCTTTTGTTTCCCCTTGCAGAGCCGATGGCCAAATCTCAGAAACCGCAGATGCCCAGCTTAAACGGATCGTCTTGACCTTCCTGGCAAGCTTTGAGTAGTGTCTTATTTTTGGTCAACTGTTTTGTCAATGTTTGCATAGTGCGGATGTTAAACTTGTTTAAAAAATCTGAAAATAAAGTGGCACTTGACATATATTAATGTACAGATGTCTCCTAACAGAGAATAAAGTTTTTCTACTCCAGGACCCATGGCCCTTTTTTATTTTACACTGCGCCTCCAGAAGAACATTTTGGCCACTTACCATGTCCAAAGTGACTTACAATCAGTGCATTCAACTTGGAAAGGTGATGAAGAGTAGCCTGGCTGACGTGACCCACGTGACTACACAGAGCTGGTGTCAGCCAGACTAGATGGAGAGGGTCACATACCAAGATCATCCAGTAAACACTTTTTCAAATGAGTTGAGCACAAATTAAGTGTTCACTTTTTACTGCAGAAGGCATATTTCACTGACTCACTTTTTCCAGGTGTTTTGAAGTAATGATAAGAGCAAGTAATTATAAAATACAGCAATAGAAGTGAGTCTCAAAATTATCCTCAGACCCCATATTTAGTTGGCCTACTCACTGTAAGGCCCTCAAAAGCATTTATTTTTTTATTTTTTTAACCTTTGGCCAGAAAAAAAACTGTTTCCCAGATATCAATGATGGATAGTCATAAGTGTTTTTAATAAGAATCTGTCACGGTTATGCTTCACAATCATAAAGAATTATCAACAAAGTAACTACGAAGTTTCATCTGCATTTGGAACCACCTCACCCATGGCATAATAGCAAGATGCTGACTGTGCTGCAGGTTTCTGACATGAAATCTGAAGGAGTGAATTTATGACTGGGTAACAGTTCCACAGACATGCTGCCTACAGGTTCACATTGTTAATGACAACAGTGCATTTCGACAGCTCTTTTTAAAAAATAACATGGGACTGTTAATTTGTAAAGTAATAGCAAAAATGGTTTTAACTCATGTTTCCCCTTTTATTCATTCTGTGGCAATAGTACATAGACACGTTTTGTCATGGGGAAAAACCAAATTGAAACATAAGGCCAATGGTAGATTGTTACTAGGTAGAAAATGACAAAGGAACGTTTTATTCAGATTGGGTCATTGACATGCAGGATCTGCTCCTCTGTCAACCGCAGCGCCGATCAGAGTTAACTGTTGGTGTTGCACTCACTTGAGAGAAAAATACACACGAGAAGAGGTAACAAACTATAAAGAAATCAGGTTTCATTCGTTGAACATACCAAGCGGAGCACCATGGCTTCAGGAGGAGAGTAAGTTGGCTATAACTTTACCTAGAGAGAATCCGGTAACCAATAAATAACGTTCGCTTTGTTAGCTGGCTAAAGTTAGCTAGCTTTCGGTTTCTAGCACATAACTAGCTACTAACGTTACCCTTTAGCTAATATCGGTGTGTGTTTTCTATGGATGTAGCTAGGCATATAACTAGTAAACAGAACAGAGACTACATACAAATAATACGGTTCCACAGAGTTATCTGGCCGCAAGATTATACCAGTGCCGGTTAGCAAGCTAACTTTAGCTAGCCATGTCAAAGATAACAGCCAGCCAGCCATCTACCAAACTGTTAGCTAGCAGCTTAGCTAGTTAACGTTAGATGCGTGGCTAGCTGACAGCGACATGAATGGGAAGACTTTGTGTTTGTCATGTTCTGCTAACATTTGCTAAGTGACGTTTATGTATCTAGCTAACTTGACAGTGAATGAAGTACAATTAGCCAGTCAACTAGCTACCTAAATTAGCAAATTCGAGCTAATGACTGTCCACTAGTTCTCGCAGTTTTTCTTGCTGTGTCATGTGGGGGCCTGCACAACACTATTAGCTAGCTACAGATGCACAGCTGAATCTGATGTAAGCTTTTAACAAAACATTAGCATTTTGTACAGTAAGCACCAGTGATTCTCCCTTTTTCCCGAACCTAACTAGGTTCGTTCAAGAGTAAATAAACATTATGTAGCTAGCTATATGTTACCTAATAGCTACTACTACTCTCCTCTCCCGTAGGATATTGTTGAGTTTATATTTGTCTTTAAGGAGGCAATTGATTTAGGGGTCCTGCCTATTTCTATGACACAAGGCCTCATTTCTGTAATCCCCAAACCAAACAAAGATCCTATGATGATAGAAAATTGGAGACGTTAATGAACAATGATGGAACGCTACTTTGCAGAAATACTTTAAAAAGGTCTTGACCAAATCAATGATGATACTCAGTCTGGTTTTATGAAGGGCATATGTATGTAATAATATCCGACTAGTATTGGACTTGATAGATTACAATGAGCACATTATGGAAGAGAGCATTATTTTATTTGTAGACTTTTACAAGGCTTTTGATACAGTTGAACGCTTGTCTTTTTGAGACTTCGATTTTTTTGGTTTTGGTCAATATTTTCAAAGTGTAATTAAGACACTTTATAATAAAAGTAACAGCTCTGTTAAATTATCCCATGGAACCTCGGATATTCGATATTAGACGCAGAATTAAACAAGGATGCCCAATTTCTCTTTTCTTATTTTTATTGGTCACAAGTTATGGCACTTCATATCAATAAGGATAGTTTTAGAGGTATTCAGATTCAAGATAAAGAGAAATGTTCACCATTTTTTTTGAAAGATCATAATGAAGTCAGGAAAGCTATGGAGTGTATTAATGCCTTCTCACGTGTATCTGGTTTATCTCTGAATTAGGAAATGTGAATTATTTGCGTTGAAAATATGAGACTTAAACTCAATATGTAATATCCCTGTAAAAGATGTGATCACATATCTTGGTATTGAAGTTTGCAAAGATCAGAAAGAAAGGGCCAACTTACATTTTTCTCCTATTGTAGAGTAAATTGGAAAGAGATTTAACTCCTGGTTATTAAGAGATCTTTCTTTATCTGGGCGTGTACATTTGTCAATCTGAAGGTCTGTCCAGATTAGTTTATTCCTCCCTTGCCTTGGATGTTCCTCTGTCAGTAACTAAAATGGTTGATACTAAATTATTTAACTTAATATGGAGGAATAAAACTCATTATTTAAAAAAGGTGGTAATATGTAGCACCCAAAGTGAGGCAGGGTTGAATGCTCTGGACTTTAAAACCTCTAATATAATCTTTAAGATCAAATGGATACAAAACTATTTAAGAAATAAGGATTGCGTTTGGAATATAATTCCTAATTTAATATTCCAACAGATTGGTGGTCTAGAGTTCTTACTCAAATGCAACTTTGATGTGGGTAAGATCCCTAATAAGCTTGCAAACTTTCATAAACAAGTACTTCTAACTTGGAACCTTATGTACAAACAACTTTTTCCCACATAGATATACAATCTGGGATAATAAAGACATACAATACAAAAATAAGTCTTTGTTTTTCCAGAACTAGTTTGACAACAGCATTATCTGGGCTAAACAATTATTGAATAATGATGGACAACCATATGATTATCCAGAATTCATGAGAACACAATGTTACATTCACTCCTGAGGAGTTTCAAATAGTTATTAGAGCTGTCCCTAAAGGTGCTATTCTTCTTTTTAGGGGCAACTGCTGAGGATTTTGTAGCCTCAATTCAGCTAGAAGGAATTTACATTTTAAACTATAAATGTAATAACAAATACATTACCAGTCAAAACTCCTTCAAGACTGTTGGAAAAGCATTCCAGGTGAAGCTGGTTGAGAGAATGCCAAGAGTGTGCAAAGTTGTCATCAAGGCAAAGGATGGCAACTTTGAAGATTCTCAAATATAAAATATATCTTGATTTGTTTAACACTTTTATGATTACTACATGATTCCATATGTGTTATTTCATAGTTTTGATGTCTTCACTATTATTCTACAATGTAGAAAATAGTAAAAATAAAGAAACCCTGGAATGGGTAGGCGTGTCCAAACTTTTAACTGGTACTGCATATACAATGCCTTCGGAAAATATTCAGACCCCTTGACCTTTTCCACATTTTGTTAAGTTACAGCCGTATTCTAAATGGATTAAATAGATAAAAATCCTCAGCAATCTACACACAATACCCCATATTGACAAAGCGAAAACAGGTTTTTAGAAATGTTTGCAAATCTATTAAAAATAAAAATAAACGTATTTACATAAGTATTCAGACCCTTTGCTATGAGACTCGAAATTGAGCTCAGGTGCATCCTGTTTCCATTGATCATCCTTGAGATGTTTCTACAACTTGATTGGAGTCCATCTGTGGTAAATTTAAATTGATTGGAAATTATTTGGAAAGGCACACACCTGTCTATATAAGGTCCAACAGTTGACAGTGCATGTCAGAGCAAAAACCAAGCCATGAGGTCGAAGGAATTGTCCATAGAGCTCCGAGACAGGATTGTGTCGATGCACAGTCGGGGGAGAAGGGCTTTGGTCAGGGAGGTGACCAAGAACCCGATGGTCACTCTGACAGAGCTCTACAGTTCTTCTGTGGAGATGGGAACCTTCCAGATGGACAACTATCTCTGCAGCACTCCACCAATCAGGCCTTTATGGTATAGTGGCCAGATGGAAGCCACTCCTCAGTAAAAGGTTTGCCAAAAGGCACCTAAAGACTGTCAGACCATGAGAAACAAGATTCTCTGGTCTGATGAAACCAAGATTGAACTCTTTGGCCTGAATGCCAAGCGTCATGTCTGGAGGAAACCTGGCACCATCCCTACGGTGAAGCATGGTGGTGACAGCATCATGCAGTGGGGATGTTTTTCAGCGGCAGGGACTGGGAGACTAGTCAGGATCGAGGGAAAGATGAACGAAGCAAAGTACAGAGAGATCCTTGATGAAAACCTGCTCCAGAGCAGGTTTTATTTTGATCCAAAGGATATGGACCCCGATTTAACTTTCATTGTTAATTTGTTTATTTTTCATGGAAGATTCTTTATCCATAAAATGAAGTGGGCGGAGAACAAACCCCTCTTCACATTGTTTTAAGATAGAATTGAAACATTATTTTGAAATTATCAGTAAGTGTCAAAACAAAAAACCAATACGTACCATAATACTATGACAAATTGAAAATGTATCTCGACATGTAATACCCCTGTCTGTTTATGTACTCTTGTTTTTGTATTTGTTTTATTTTTCATAAACATTAAAATAATATTCTCCTCTCCTGTTAACTCCGCTATCTAGCTAACAGTGTGGCAGATGACATTTCAAAATAGAATGGCTGCCCATTCTAGTAGTTAGTTTCACTACTGTATAATTAGAAACCGAAAGCAACTGGCCCATAGTTATTCAAAGTTTCTGTCTCTAGTCAGTAGGCACACTTTACTTTTCACCCAAAGAGACTACAGTTGATTTGATATGATAAGCTTGTCACATTACAATAAGGATTAAAGGAAACCCTTTTATCACTTAGCAAAACTTCCCAACAGTCAGCTAGCTTGTCAGTATGTACTCCCAGGTTTATTGATCATGTATGTAACGTTGCCATCTGATTTATATTTAGCATCTCATTGATTTTCCCTCAGATCGAAAAATGATGATCTATCCACAGCGATTTTAAAGCAGAAGACCAGACCTAACCGGTTGGTTGTGGATGAATCTCTCAATGAGGACAACAGTGTGGTCTCTCTGTCTCAGGTGAGGCATTGGTGGGGTGAATGAATGTGGCATTTTTAGTGAACCCCCAGTCTGCACTGAGTGATACATAGTTATTTCACCAGTAAATCACTCGTTCCAGTTGTGCGGGCTGTGTTTGACTGTTACATCTTCACTGTGGGAGGTTCTATATTAGATCAATAGGATTGTGTCTGACTGATTCCTCTGTCCCGCCCTAGGCCAAGATGGACGAGTTGCAGTTGTTCAGGGGAGACACAGTGCTGATGAAAGGAAAGAAGAGACGGGAGACAGTCTGCATTGTGCTCTCTGACGACACCTGCTCCGACGAGAAGGTCCGCATGAACAGAGTGGTCCGCAACAACCTGAGAGTCCGCCTGGGTGATGTCATCAGGTGAGAAGGAACTGTAGAACTTTGGCATCAATGCAGCGTCGCGTAAAACCAGACCTCTGCTCCTACTTCAATGTACAGTATAGCCCTGACATAATTCATTATTTTGGTGGTCCCACAGTATTCAGCCATGCCCAGATGTGAAGTACGGGAAGCGGATCCACGTTCTGCCCATCGATGACACTGTGGAGGGGATCACAGGGAACCTGTTTGAGGTCTACCTCAAGCCCTACTTCCTGGAGGCCTACAGGCCCATCAGGAAAGGTAACCGTGATCCAGAGCAGGGTTTCCCAAACTCGGTCCTGTGGCCCCCCCACCCTGCATGTTTTATTTTTTGCCCTAGCACTACACGGCTAATTCAAAAAATCAAAGCGTGATGATGAGTTGGTTATTTTAATCAGCTGTGTAGTGCTAGGGCAAAAACCAAAACGTACAACCAGGATGAATGTTTCCAACAATTGTTTACAGACAGATTATTTCACTTATAATTCACTGTATCACAATTCCAGTGGGTCAGAAGTTTACATACACTAAGTTGACTGTGCCTTTAAACAGCTTGGAAAATTCCAGAAAATGATGTCATGACTAGCATTGCCTTTAAATTGTTTAACTTGGGTCAAACGTTTCGGGTAGCCTTCCACAAGCTTCCCACAATAAGTTGGGTGAATTTTGGCCCATTCCACCTGACAGAGCTGGTGTAACTGAGTCAGGTTTGTAGGCCTCCTTGCTCGCACACGCTTTTTCAGTTCTGCCCACAACTTTTCTATAGGATTGAGGTCAGGGCTTTGTGATGGCCACTCCAATACCTTGACTTTGTTGTACTTAAGCCATTTTGCCACAACTTTGGAAGTATGCTTGGGGTCATTGTCCATTTGGAAGACCCATTTGCGACCATTTGCGAATGTTCTTTGAACATTTTGCATTTACATTTTAGTCATTTAGCAGACGCTCTTATCCAGAGCGACTTACAGTTAGTGAATGCATACATTCTTTTATTTGTTTATACTGTCCCCCCGTGGGAATCGAACCCACAACCCTGGCGTTGCAAACGCCATGCTCTACCAACTGAGCTACATTACCTGCCGGCCATTCCCTCCCCTACCCTGGACGACGCTGGGCCAATTGTGCGCCGCCCCATGGGTCTCCCGGTCACGGCCGGCTACGACAGAGCTTGGATTCGAAGCAGGATCTCTAGTGGCACAGCTAGCACTGCAATGCAGTGCCTTAACCTCCTGAGTGGCGCAGTGGTCTATCTCAACATCTCAAGACATTAGTCAGGAAGTTAAAGCTTGGTCGCAAATGGGTCTTCCAAATGGACAATGACCCCAAGCATACTTCCAAAGTTGTGGCAAAATGGCTTAAGGACAACAATGTCAAGGTATTGGAGTGGCCATCACAAAGCCCTGACCTCAATCCTATAGAACATTTGTGGGCAGAACTGAAAAGGCGTGTGCAAGCAAGGAGGCCTACAAACCTGACTCAGTTACACCAGCTCTGTCAGGAGGAATGGGCCAAAATTCACCCAACTTATTGTGGGAAGCTTGTGGAAGGCTACCCGAAACGTTTGACCCAAGTTAAACAATTTGAAGGCAATGCTACTAAATACTAATTGAGTGTATGTAAACGTCTGACCCACTGGGAATGTGATGAAAGAAATGAAAGGATTAAATGTCAGGAATTGTGTAAAACTGAGTTTAAATGTATTTGGCTAAGGTGTATGTAAACTTCTGACTTCAACTGTATATGTTGGGGTCAATGGAGGGTGGATAAGAAGTAGGTGTATGGAAAGATACTGTGTGAGGAAGGGGGAGTGCAGAAAGTTTACATGTTAAAACATGGTATTGTTAAATCTCTTGATCATATGGAGAGGGGCAAAGGGCAACAGTCTGGTTTCAGTCACTGATAAGGTAGGACAGACATGGCTTAGGGAGGAGTGAGGAATTCAGGCCGAGCTCAGGTCAGATGAAGTGACAAGGAACAGTTCTATTACACACACCACTTAAGTTCCTGCTTAACAACAGAGATGTAATGGCTGTCTAGATGTGCAAGGAGTTGACTCCGCCCAATAGGAGGATATAAATACTTGTGCTGGTGGAAACATGTCTTTGTCTTTGCAGCTGTTTGACCCAGTGGGGAATAAATTTGTTTTGAGCTTTTCCTAGTCATCCGTTTTAGTTTTCACTCTGTTTGTTTAGAACCTAACAGTGCATACTGAACAACCCAGGTTTACTGGCAAAGCCAGTGTGTCTCACAATATGATTATGAAAAACACCAAAAGGTCAAGCCAAGGTCAGAGAATTAGTAATGTGGGTCAATTCTAAATCTCTGTTGTTTGTAGGGGACATCTTCCTGGTGAGGGGAGGCATGCGAGCTGTGGAGTTCAAGGTAGTGGAGACGGACCCCAACCCCTATTGCATCGTGGCCCCAGACACAGTCATCCACTGTGAGGGGGAGCCCATCAAACGAGAGGTACGGCTTAATTCAGTACCAGCACTGCTGCAGTTTTCTATAGAGCAGCAAGTCTGCTCTATTTCTACAGCTTCAGTTGGATATTGTGCATGAGAGCAGGTTAACATCAGAGCTGCTGTTTTCAGAGATGGGATTTTTCTTGATTATTCAGGAATTCCTGATTTTCTGATCGTAGAAAGCAATTTCTTACATTTGTATGCTATCTGTATCTGTAGCCTTTTGCCCTAGTTTCTAATGCTTTACCAACCACATCTCTTACTGTGTTCAGGATGAAGAGGAGTCTCTGAATGAGGTTGGCTATGATGACATTGGTGGTGTGAGGAAGCAGCTGGCCCAGATTAAGGAGATGGTGGAGCTGCCCCTGAGACACCCAGCACTGTTCAAGGCCATCGGCGTCAAGGTGAGCTAAATACAACTCTCATCCTTCACGTCAAACCTCATGTAGAAACTATTAGATAAATGCCTTAAACTGGTTTGTTTTAACCATACGTTTTGATTTGGTTGGATTTGTTTAAACAAGTGAATGAATTGCTGCTGTTTTACATGAAAATGTAATTCATTTTCATCACTTCTAATTTTAATTCAGCCTCCAAGGGGGATCCTGCTGTACGGACCCCCTGGAACAGGAAAGACTCTGATCGCCCGTGCTGTGGCGAATGAGACTGGAGCCTTCTTCTTCCTTATCAATGGTGAGAGCCTGAAGGACAATACCTTTTTAGTTATTTTTCATCAGCATTTTGTTAAATTCCATTTCAATTCAGTCAATGCATGAAGTGAATTGAAATTCCATTAAAAATACTTTTTTTTAGTTGGAATTTCAATGCAACTGACTGAATTGGAATTGATTGACTCTAACTCTGTTGTTCAGTGATGGTCAGAATTACACATTCAGTGTGTTTGTTGTCAGGAAGTTGCCTAATAGTTGAACTCGCACCTACTAAATGTTTCAGGGCCTGAGATCATGAGTAAACTGGCCGGAGAGTCTGAGAGTAACCTGAGGAAGGCCTTCGAGGAGGCGGAGAAGAATGCCCCCGCCATCATCTTCATTGACGAACTGGATGCCATTGCACCAAAAAGAGAAAAGGTGGGTTCACATCTTCTGATACAGTTTCCTTCCCATCCAGTAGACCAATGTTCTTCAATCCTGTCCCAAGTCATGTTTGTTAGGGAGAAAGTTATGAAACTGAGTGAAACGGGAAGGTACTACCTGAATTCCAAAGTTTTGCTACAATTTGTCATACTGAGGCCCACATGGTGTGCAGGATTTTTTTCTAGCCAAGCGGAAACATACTTTTTTAGTTGAATCAGGTGTGGTAGCACAGGGCTAGAACAAAAGCCTGCACGCCCAGTTGAATGTCCGTGGTACTTATGCTAAAATGTTTGTCCTCTTCTACTGTGCCATTTACTTTATGTTCGTATTCTTTATTATTTCTTAATGTTGTTGTATTGTCGAGATGGAACCTGCAAGTAGTAGTGGAGAGGCGCATGTGCGTACCGATAGGATGCATGGGGTGTGAGTAGCTCCGTTTTGTACCGACAAAACTGGTTATATGCAGAAGCCAGACAACAATGTTGAAATTAAGCCTCTAAAATCGATAGATCAATATATCCTCAAGCAACTAGGAGAGAGTGAGAGGTCAGTTATGTACGACCCAATCAGTTGGTAAAGCGAACGCGGTGACACTAATTAAACAAGCCATGGCTTCCCCCCAGAGGAAAAGACCATTAGCAACTTGGAGATGCAAATGAGTAATGAACAGCTAAAGGATATCCAGGAAAACATAGCTAAAATGCTTCCAAAACAAACAAACTGCTACAATCTATTGTTAAAAAAGTAGATTAGCTCGAAAAGAAAGTAGTCATACAAGGCGTGTGTATAAATGAACAAGACAACACAATTAGCCTTCTGGAAACAAAGTTGCAAACTTTAGAAGATTAATTGGATCAGCAAGAAATCAGAATGAGACGAAACAACAGGTGAATATTGTCCTTAGCGGAAGACGAGGAAAAGGAAGATGTTTCCAGCTACGTGGTCAAATTGATATCAATGGAACTTGATGTGGATAGATCACCAGAGGATCTGGAACGATGCCATAGGATGGCGTGAAACAGAAGAACGCTAAATACCCTTGCATGGTAATCTTCAAGCTGTGGAACTATCAGACCAAAGTCAATATGCTGAAGGCACAGGGGGGAAAGGAGATCAAAATCCATGGCTAGTCCATTCAATTGATCCAGGACCTGTCTGCTAGGCTGAGGAAAAAACCGCAAGGATTACATTCCCATCAATCACTGGAAGAAATAGGAATCAAATCTCAACTACGCTTCCCGGCAGTGCTGTGGGTATGGAAGGGAATGCAAAGGATGGAATTCACAATTGCTGATTAAGCCCTAAACAAGTTGCAAGAAACCTTTCCAGTTGAAGGAGAGACACCTGCCCTGAGGAGAGGAAGGAGCGGGAAAAAGTGATAAGCACACTAGACTACATACAATAACCTGGTCTTGGGCTGTAAGTTCATACAGTATTCTTTCCCCCTCCCCCTAATACCATACTCTACTTTCCCCAAGTAACTGTTCTTCTCTAGGAAGTAACGATAGAAGTAGCTGATGCCAATGGGTTACATGGACACCGAAAAGAAAATACAAAATGAAATATAGCATGTATGTCGTCAACTATTCTGTGGGTGGGTGTGTGTGTCTGTGTATATAAATGGGAGTGTGAAAGAGGGTGAATATGTAGGAGGGGGAGAGAGGGTGTGGATGCATAGGGTATATGTTGTATGTGAATGGATGAGTAAGTCGATGTATGGGTATAAATGTGTCTGAGAAGAAGGGATGGTGGGACAAGCTTGGCTTGGGGGAAGGAAAACTGGGAGGGGGAGGTGGAGAGGGACAAGCTTGGCTTGGTAAAGAGGGAAGGAAGAAGTTATCTATAATGTCATTTTATTTATTTTTGTGACTTGCAAACTTGCTGTAAAATAATAAGAGTTCTGGCCAAATTAGAAGAGGTCAAGTCATTATTATGCCCTGTTTGCCATTATAGTTAAGAACCAATGGTGGTTATTGGTGAGAGTGGAGATGGGCTCTATCTGAGGGATCAGGAGGGGGGGGGGGGGCTGGGAGGACATCAGACACTTCCCTGAAGTATGTGTGGTGCCTCCACTCATCTCACTTCGGTCTCTCGGTGGACCCACTCTCCCCAAGTAGAGCCCCACCAGCCACTATACTTTAATTTAATTCACAAGGTATTACAAACTGACCACAGTATTTAAGTGGCAGTCTTTCTCCAATGTAAACTGAACAAAAATATAAACGCAACATGTAAAGTTTTTGATTTAACCAGGTAAGCCAGTTGAGAACAAGTTCTCATTTACAACTGCGACCTGGCCAAGATAAAGCAAAGCAGTGCGATTAAAAACAACAACACAGAGTTACATATGGGGTAAAACAAAACATAAATTCAAAAATACAACAGAAAATATATATACAGTGTGTGCAAATGTAGCAAGTTATGGAGGTAAGGCAATAAATAGGCTATAGTGCAAAATAATTACAATTAGTATTAACACTGGAATGATAGATGTGCAAGAGATTATGTGCAAAAAGAGATACTGGGGTGCAAATGAGCAAAATAAATAACAATATGGGGATAGGGTATTTGGGTGGGCTAATTTCAGATGGGCTGTGTACGGGTGCAGAGATCGGTAAGGTGCTCTGACAACTGATGCTTAAAGTTAGTGAGGGAGATAAGAGTATCAGCTTCAGAGATTTTTGCAATTCGTTCCAGTCATTGGCAGCAGAGAACTGGAAGGAATGGCGGCCAAAGGAGGTGTTGGCTTTGGGGATGACCAGTGAGATATACCTGCTGGAGCGCATACTATGGGTGGGTGTTGCTATGGTGACCAATGAGCTAAGATAAGGTGGGGATTTGCCTAGCAGTGATATAGATGGCCTGGAGCCAGTGGGTTTGGCGACGAATATGCAGTGAGGACCAGCCAACAAGAGCTTACAGGTCACAGCACAGTGGTGGGTAGTATATGGGGCTTTAGTGACAAAACGGATGGCACTGTGATAGACTACATCCAATTTGCTGAGTAGAGTGTTGGAGGCTATTTTGTAAATGACATTGCCGAAGTCAAGGATCGGTAGGATAGTCAGTTTTACGAGGGCATGTTTGGCAGCATGAGTGAAGGAGGCTGTGTTGCGAAATAGGAAGCCGATTCTAGATTTAACTTTGGATTGGAGATTCTTAATGTGAGTCTGGAAGGAGAGTTTACAGTCTAACCAGACACCTAGGTATTTGTAGTTGTCCACATACTCTAGGTCAGACCCGTCGAGAGTAGTGATTCTAGTTGGGTGGGCGTGTGCCAGCAGCGTTCGATTGAAGAGCATGCATTTAGTTTTACTAGTGTTTAAGAGCAGTTGGAGGCTACTGAAGGAGTGTTGTATGGCATTGAAGCTCGTTTGGAGGCTTGTTAACACAGTGTCCAATGAAGGGCCAGATGTATACAAAATGGTGTCGTCTGCGTAGAGGTGGATCTGAGAGTCACCAGCAGCAAGAGCGACATCATTGATATACACAGAGAAAAGAGTCTGCCCAAGAATTTAACCCTGTGGCACCCCCATAGAGACTGCCATAGGTCCAGACAACAGGCCCTCCGATTTGACACATTGAACTCTATCTGAGAAGTAGTTGGTGAACCAGGCGAGGCAGTCATTTGAGAAACCAAGGCTATTTAGTCTGCCAATAAGAATGCGGTGGTTGACAGAGTCGAAAGCCTTGGCCAGGTCGATGAAGACGGCTGCACAGTACTGTCTATTCTCAATCGCGGTTATAATATCGTTTAGGATCTTGAGCGTGGCTGAGGTGCACCCATGACCAGCTCGGAAACCAGATTGCATAGCGGAGAAGGTACGGTGGGATTCGAAATGGTCGGTGATCTGTTTGTTAACTTGGCTTTCAAAAACTTTCGAAAGGCAGGGCAGGATGGATATAGGTCTGTAACAGTTTGGATCTAGAGTGTCACCCCCTTTGAAGAGGGGGATGACCGCGGCAGCTTTCCAATCTCTGGGGATCTCAGATGTTACGAAAGAGAGGTTGAACAGGCTAGTAATAGGGGTTGCGACAATTTTGGCAGCTAGTTTTAGAAAGAAAGGGTCCAGATTGTCTAGCCCAGATGATTTGTAGGGGTCCAGATTTTGCAGCTCTTTCAGAACACCAGCTGTCTGAATTTGTGTGAAGGAGAAGCGGGGGGGGGGGCATGGGCAAGTTGCAGCGGTGGGTGCAGAGCTGGTGGCCGGGGTAGTGGTAGCCAGGTGGAAAGCATGGCCAGCCGTTGAAAAATGCTTGTTGAAATTCTCGATTATTGTAGATTTATCGGTGGTGATAGTGTTTCCTAGCCTCAGTGCAGTGGGCAGCTGGGAGGAGGTGCTCTTATTCTCCATGGACTATACAGTGTCCCAAAACATTTTGGAGTTAGTGCTACAGGATGCACATTTCTGTTTGAAAAAGTTAGCCTTTGCTTTCCTAACTGCTTGTGTATATTGGTTCCTAACTTCCCTGAAAAGTTGCATATCGCGGGGGCTATTTGATGCTAATGCAGTACGCCACAGGATGTTTTTGTGCTGGTCAAGGGCAGTCAAGTCTGAGGAGAACCAGGGGCTATATCTGTTCTTAGTTCTGTATTTTTTGAATGGGGCATGTTTATTTAAGATTGAGAGGAAATTACTTTTAAAGAACAACCAGGCATCCTCTACTGACGGAATGAGATCTATATCCATCCAGGATACCTGGGCCAGGTCAATTAGGAAGGCCTGCTCGCTCAAGTGTTTTAGGTAGCGTTTGACAGTGATGAGGGGTGGTTGTTTGAGATCCTGGTTGAAGACAGCGGAGGTGTATTTAGAGGGTAAGTTAGTCAGGATGATATCTATGAGGGTACCCATGTTTACGGATTTAGGGTTGTACCTGGTAGGTTCGTTGATAATTTGTGTGAGATTGGAGGTAATCTAGTTTGGATTGTAGGATGGCCGGGGTAAAAAGCATATCCCAATTTAGGTCACCAACTCTGAGGATAAATGGGG